TGACATCCAAATCTTGAAGACGGTCAAAAATGGGGTGTCTACTACCTAGATTGTCCGAATTTATATTTATTGGAATTGGTGTAGTACCTCCCCCATATTTGATTTCATCCATGAAAGCTAGAAAATTATTGAGAAAAGATTGTAGGGGCTACCTGTGTAGTGTGTTGACTGAGTCTTCAGATAGTGCCAGTATGGAAACTATTCTTGTGGTTTGTGACTTTCATGATATGTTTCCTAATGACTTACCAAGGATTTTAATTGATAAGGAAATTGAGTTTACAATTGATATAGTACTTAGAACGCAACCTATTTTCAAAACGCCATATAGAATGTCAATTTCTCAACTAAAAGAGTTGAAAGCTCAGCTCCAAAAACTCTTAGACAAGAAACTCATTCGCCCGAGCACTTCACCTTGGGGTGCTCCAGTTTTATTTGTTAAAAAGAAAGATGGGTCCTTATGATTGTGTATAGATTACAGAGAACTGAACAAAGTGACTGTGAAGAATAAATACCCATTACCTCGAATAGATGATCTATTTAACCAACTTCAGGGGGCACAAGTGTTCTCCAAGATAGACCTTAGATCCGGGTATCACCAGTTAAAGGTTAAGGTAGAAGACAGAGAAAACTGCATTCAAAACTAGATACGGGCACTATGAATTTTTAGTCACGCCGTTTGGGGTAACAAATGCACCTAAAGCCTTTATGGACCTTATGAACAGAGTGTTTAAATCATATCTAGATGAATTTTTTGTTGTGTTTATAGATGATATTTTGATATACTCCAAAAGCAAGGAAGAACATGGGAACCATTTGAGAACCACTTTGTAGATCCTAAGAGAAAAGAATTTGTATGCGAAATTTTCTAAATGTGAATTCTGGCTTGACAATGTGACGTTTCTGGGGCATGTGATCAATAGGGATGGTATTTCAGTGGACCCACAAAAAATTAAAACTATAGTGGACTGGCCTAAACCGACAATGTGTCAGAAGTTAGGAGTTTTCTGGAACTTGCAAGTTACTACAGAAGTTTTGTAAAAGACTTTTCAAAACTTGCTATGCCATTGACTCAGTTAATCTAGAAAAATGTGTCATTTGATTGGAATGATCAAAAAAAGTCTGCCTTTCAAAAATTGAAAACTAGATTAGTAACTGCACCGATTTTGGTTTTGCCTAATGGTATTGATGGATTTCAGATTTACAGTGATGTATCTTACAAAGGTTTGGGTTGTGTACTAATGCAAACTGGAAAGGTAATTGCTTACGCCTTTCAGCAACTCCGTCCTCATGAAAAAAACTACCGAACTCATGATCTTGACTGGTAGCCTTGGTGTTTGCTTTGAAAATTTGGCGACACTATCTGTATGGTGTGACTTGTGAAGTGTATACGGACCATAAAAGCCTCAAATATTTCTTCACCCAAAAAGAACTGAACATGAGACAAAGAAGATGGCTAGAGTTGATCAAAGACTATGACTTGCAAATTTTATGCCATCCAGGGAAGGCAAATACCGTTGCAGATGCATTGAGTCGAAAATCTATTGGGAATTTGTCATGTTTACTCACCGGTCAGAAAGAGTTATTATGTAACTTGAAATAGAGTGAGATTGAGGTGGTATTGCAAGAACAAGGCAATGTCTTAGCCGCCATTTCTGCTTAACCTACAATCATTGAAGAAATTAGAGAGACTCAGTTGCAAGATGAATTCTTGAAAAAGATCGTGGAAGAAATTGACTCCAAACCAAGGCCCAGGTTTGTACTTGAGAATAATGTGTTGAAATTTCAAGATCACCTTTGTGTACCAGATTGTTGTGACTTGAGAAAATGCCTTATGGCTAAAGCTCATAATTCTAAATTTGCTATGCATTCAGGAAACACAAAGATGTACCATGACTTGAAACAGAATTTCTGGTGGCTGGGGAATGAAAAAGTGTATTGCAGATTTCGTGGCTAGATGTTTGCATTGCCAACAAGTTAAAGCCGAACATCAACGACCCGCTGGTTTACTACAGTCGCTTCTAATACCCGGATGGAAGTGGAAACACGTCTCGATGGACTTTATCGTTGGATTTCCCCGCTCCTCTTGAGGTATGGATTCTATTTGGGTCATTGTTGATCGTTTAACTAAGTCTGCCCATTTTCTGCTTGTTAAAACTATTTATAATGCGGACAAGCTAGCTAACATATATGTGAATGAAATTGTGAGATTACATGGTGTACTAGTATCTATTGTATCTTACAGTGATTTGAAGTTTACATCAAGATTTTGGTAGAGTTTGCAACAGGCTTTAGAAACCAAATTATGATTGAGCAGTGCCTACCATCCACAGACAGATGGTCAATTCGAAAGAACCAATCAGACTTTGGAAGATATGCTGCGGATGTGTGTGTTAGACTTCCAAGGGAATTAAGAGACTTATCTTCCTTTAACTGAATTTGTATATAATAACAGCTATCATTCAAGCATTGGAATGGCTCCTTATGAAGCTTTGTATGAAAGAAAATGTCGATCTCCTATCTGTTGGGCTGAAGTAGGTGATTGACCATTGTTGGGCCTAGACCTTGTGTAAGAAACAACTGAAAAAGGGAAGCTGATTTAACAACGTCTGAAAATTGCACAGAGCCGCCAAAAGAGTTATGCTGATGTCCGAAGAAGAGACAAAGAATATGAAGTCAAGGATCATGTGTTCATAAAAATAACTCCCATGAAAGGGCAAACATGGTTTGGGGTAAAAGGCAAGTTGGCACCGAGATACATTGGGTCATATGAAATCTTTGAAAGGATCAATTTGGTAACATACCGAGTAGCCTTACCTCCGGTGATGGAAAACATGCACAACGTTTTTCATGCCTTAATCTTACGGGATTACTTACGAGATCCGCACCATGTTATTAAGCCGACACATGTGCTTCTGAAGGATGATTATATGTACGAAGAAAGACCTGTTCAGATTGTGAATCGCCGAATACCGTTGGTGAAAGTTGATTGGCAAAACCATGGACGAACGTATGCTACATGGGAAACGAACGAAGATATGATGAAGAGATATCCAAATTTGTTTCCGTTAGACCCGTTATTCTTCCAAAATGAAGGTAACTTGAGTTTGGAGGACTAAACTCTTTAAGCGGAGAGACTATAACAACCCTGACCCATAATTAACATTAATCCATGCTTTAATTCTTGAGATCAAAACCTGAATTAAATTGCATGTGTGTTGCCTTATTTGTGTTGTCTTATCTATTTAACGTAGAATGATCTGTTCCGCAAATTGAAGACCTTATCGGCATCCGATTAAAAAATTGACTTGATTTATGTGTTAATTAGAATTTTTAGAATTTTGTGGTAGGTTTAATTGAAATTTGATTCGGAACGAAATAATTAGAATGATTAATGCTCAGTTAAGCCCAAATTAATGAATTTGTTAGTCAAGCCTATATAAGGCCATCTCATTGACTCCTAGACACTTTTACATTTCCATTTTCTCTTGCTTGATCATCAAAACGTGAGAAAGGGAGAAAGAAGAGAATTTGAGCTCAAATTATAGGGATTTCTAGAGAACTTCTGAATTTGGACTTAGGAACTTAAGGACCAAACTTCTAGCTCTCATCATGACAAGTTTAGGTAAGAATCCAACCCTTTGATTGAGAAACTATGAAGTGTAAGACATAAACTCTAGAGAATTGAGTTGATTAATGTAAGAATTGAATTAGAAATGTAGAGTATTGAGCCATACCATGCATTCATGCATATTTTCTCATATTTTGAGTTTAATTCCCAAGAATTTCCCCATGCATGTCTTGAATTCACCTTAATTTTGGGAAATCATCAAGTTTCATGTTGTTTTGTAGCATTTGATCATGTTTTGAGAAGCTTAAGTTCAAAGAAATTCATGCATGTCATGTTCATGGAACATTCATAAATTTTAAGTTAAAGTTTTGCACAATTGGCAAGCTATTGGGCCATGATTCCTTGAGATGATCCTTAATTCATGATGTTTTATGAGTTTTTAAGTGTTTCCTCAAGTTTTGGCCCAAAAAATCAAGTTTTGATGCTTCAAGATCGAGTTTTGGACTTTGGAAGCAAATCTGGAAATTCCAGAATTTACACCCTCCGCTCGAGTGAAGTATTTTACGCTCAAGCGATCACCTTTGTTTTTGCACCTTCGCTCAAGCAACTAGAAGTCCGCTCGAGCATGATATGTATGCTCCCAGAAGTTTATGTGTTTTTGCAGATCGCTCGAGCAACAAAAGTCACGCTCGAGCGAAGGTCTGAGTCTCACGCTCAAGCGAGGATCGAGTGTCCGTCAACCGTGAAAATCAAACAACCAGTATTTTTTCAAAGTTTGTAGACCACTCGAGCGAAGGAAGTTGCGCTCGAGCTTACCCTCACATTTTGTATGTCTGCTTGAGCGAGGAAAGCCACGCTCGAACGTGGACCCTATTTTCAGTAAGTTTTGAAAAATATTTTTAAGTACATTTTTGCATCCTTATTCCATCCTAGGCATTCATACACTACAATAAAGCAGACTTTTTACGGCACCACATCAATGGCATACAATAAATGCACGCTGTAATTTCTCACTTTTACGACTTGCTTTTTTTGCACGTCGTAAATACTTTTCCAACCACGGCGTGTCTATTGTGTAGGCCGTGAATGGTAATAACGATAATTTTTTTACGACTTGCAATGTACGCCGTAAATAATAAAATTTTCTACGACGTGTATATGACGTGCCGTTAATATATTACTTATACAGGACGCACATACGCCAGTTGTGAAAAGTGAATATTTTTCACGACACACATAATGCCTGTCGTTAAAAGTATTGTATTTTTTACGACGCACAATTTATGTCGTAAATGATATGACGAAAAAAAAAAAATAATATGACGAAAAAAAAAAAAAAAAAAAAGGCGGCAAAACAAAATAATTTAGCGCCAACTACAAAAATATATTAAAAAATAAAAAGTTGATCAAAATACAAAGGTGAAAAATTGTAATAGTTGCTATTAAGCAAACAAGAGAGGGGGAAGAGAGAGGGTTAGAAAGGGAGACTAGGCAACTTCTCTTCTAACTTGAACGATGCTCTCTCTTCGGTGGCAAGACTAGTTCGGCGGCGGCGACGACGATCGATGGTTCAAAGGGGAAGGGTTTCATTCTTCTCTTCGCTTCGATCTGGAAAAAATCTCAGTTCGATTCTTGAGGTATGTTCGGATTGACTCAATTTGTACGATTATTTGTTGTTCCCTTCATCTCTCTCTCTCTCTCTCTCTTATGGTTCTGCGATGGCGGAGGGGCTGGGAAGGGGTAGGTAGATCGTCGGATTTTAGAGGATAGGCGAGGGGATTACTGAGTTTGGTCCTGGAGGGAGGGATTTCTGTATCAATGTGCAGATACAGAAATGATATATACTGATATATATATATATATATATATATATATATTTTCAATAATGTCTATTGGAAATGTTTCTATTTTTAAATCAAGATGCAAATGATGGGAACTTGAATGGACATGATTTTTGCACAGAGTCTTGCCTGGCCTCTGAGACCGACCATTTACTTGTAGATACTATGTTGAGTAACAAGGAGGGAGAGTCTTCTCTTTCAGAATCCAAGTGGTTAGAACATGATGAATCTTTGGCTGTTTGGGTCAAGGTATATATTAATGTTGTTGCTTTGACTTCTATCTCGTTCTCTTTTATTGTATCATTAGTATAGTGCACATATGCAAGTTTGATAGTTCTGGGGTGCTGTTTCTCAATGTGGTTGCCTTGTTGATTGAGGTTTGATTGTACAGATTAGTATGATGGCTGGTGAAGTAGAAATTAAAACTCCACCTGACTCTGGCATATGCTGCATTTAGATGGTCTGAAAACTGGCTAGTTGCCAGAAAATCAGATCAACTCTCGTGTGCATCACCATGTTCTTTGACACCATATTTTATTTCATTTTATGCTTATTTTTCTTGTACACAGTACTGCTTTAAGCTTTTGCATCTAATTTTACATGGTATAACTTATGGATATAATGCTGATTTTGTTTTTGTGTTTATATCTCTCTGTTTTACCAAGGATAGTGTAGAGGGAAGTGGCAAGCAACAATCAAATGTGCAAGGGCAGACTGGCCATTGTCGACAGTGAAAGCAAAACCAACTCATGACAGGAAAAAAGTATCTTGTGATATTTTTTCCACGCAAAAGAAATTACTCTTGGGCAGATGTGCTACTTGTCCGCCCAATTAATGAATTTCCAGAGCCCATTGCATATAGGACACAAAGTTGGAATGAAAATGGTGAAAGATTTGACTCTTGCCCTGTTAGCATGCTAAATATTATTGACCAATTACATACCAAGGTGCTCGTTGCTTGTTGCACATTTTTTGATTTATTCTTTTTTCCTGTTCATCTAATTTTGAATCTTACTTTCATGTCCATTCTTAATTGAGATCCTTCAAACTTATTTAGGCTCTGTCAGAGACTGCTCACAGCGTGATGGTTTGGAAGGAATTTGCAATGGAGGCTTCTCACTGCAAGGGTTATTCTGAACTTGGAAGGATGCTTTTGAAACTTCATAATGTAACTCCCTTTCTATAGCTAAATGACAGAGAAGTAGAAGTACAAAGATGTGTTATTTGTCTGCTTCACATTCCATTTGTTTTTCCAAATTGATAAGATTGATAGGTTATTTTGGAGTCCATCGTCTTTATTTGATTCATTTTTATCACTGGAATATTATAAGGTGTTAAAAGATCATACATAAGGCGTGATATTGTGGAGGAATTTTTATCACTGGAATCTTTATTTGATTTCTTATGTAATATTTTGCAGAGGATGGACTTTGGTGAGAGGTGGAGGTGGAGGTGGATTTGATTTTGAATGGGTTGGTAAGAGGCTTTTTCGAGAGCTCTAGATGGCAAAGGCTTTTCACTTTTGTTAATTATGGAAGCTTTGAGTCAGGGCCGGCCCTGAGTTCGTCGGAGCCTAAGGCGAATTTCGAAAATGGAGGCCTTTTATATTGAAAAAAAATTATGAATAAAACGATAAGTTACAATTTTTTTATTTGTTTGTAACCATAAAAAAATTTACTTACACATATAATCATTAAAATTATAAATAAAACAATTTAATAAAACAAAATTAGAACAAAAAAATTAGGAAAAAATTATTCAATTAAAATTGATAAACACTTAGGTAAAAAAATTTGAGCAAAATTATTTATTCCACTAAAATCTAATAGATAAAGAAGGTAAAAATAAAAAATAAAAAAAATAGGGCCCATATATTGTATGTATTATTTTTCTTGAGCCCAAACACTTTTTTTTAATATATATTTTCATTTTAATAAATATGGACCAAATTACACTTATAAATAAATATGGAGTAAATCATACATGGATCCAAAAAAATATTTTGAGGCCCTTTAAATTGAACCTAAAACCAAAAAAAAAAACATTGAGTCTATAATATTTTACCAAATTTAGGGGCCCTATTGTTTTTTATTTATTTATTTATATATTTTCATTTTAATAAATATGGGCCAAACACATTTATAAATAAATATGGGCTAAATTATACATGGGCCCAATAAAACATTTGAGGCCCTTTAAATTGATCTTAAAACCAAAAAAAAAAAAAAAAGATTGAACCTATAACAATTTTTTAAATTTGGAGCCCTATTTTTGGGCCAAAATATGGGGCCTAAGGTATAAGCCTTACCTGCCTTAGGGCAGGGCCGGCCCTGCTTTGAGTCACATGATAGATAGGGCATCTCGTGGTGGATACTTAGTGGCTTTGGGGTGGGAGTAAAGGATGGAGCAATGGTGTTTGTTTCCCATTTTCTTTTTGCAAATGACACAACGATTTTTTTGTGGAGCAAATGAGTAAGAGTTGAGATATATAGGTGGTTTTGGTTTTGTTTTATTTTGCCTTTGGTATTCACTGTTTTATTTTGCCTTTGGTATTCACTGATTTGGTGTTTATTTTGCCTTTTGTTTTATTTTGCCTTATTGGCTAGATGGTTGCATCTATATCACTCCTGCTATCTCTTGTTTGTATTTTTGACTGAACTATAGCGCTAGCTTTTGAACTTGAGTTTTACAAAATACTTACATGTTGATTGTTGTTTCCTACTATCAATTTCCACATTATCCTTTCCAACCAGTCATTGGAATGGAATGAGGAACAAACTGAAGAACAAGGGGGAGCTGAATCACCTCCTGTTGTTGCTAATGATCCTTGTGCACAAAGTTCCGAAAAGAAAGAGGATAATCCAGTTAATGGTACTGAAGAAAGTGAATGGGGCAGACTTCTGTGACTAAGGTAAGGAGTAAATTCTTGTGGCGACTTGTTCATAGTTTCATTGAGCATCACTGTTCTAGAATACATTATATGACCCGTATCACTTTAGAATCTGATGTCACATTTATAGCTAGTACAAAACATTCTCAACTATTAACCACTTAATTAACTTAGGCATTCACATATGAGAGGAATAACAAACATGTATATGCAAAATTCAAAGTTATACCTAGGGTACAGACATACCGATGGGCCCAAAAAAAAAAAAAAATACAGCTATGCCACCTTAATGCAATAGCAATTGGAATGATTTGAATTGTTGATGAAAGAAAGAAAATAGGCAACATAATGCATTCTAGTGGTTTGTGATGTTCCTAATCCAACTTCTGTGAGAGTGTCCCACTGTAATTTCCTTTCTGGATATTGCTTATCATATTGAACCACAGGAGAGTACAATTACCTCATTATGTGTTTTATGTAGCAATTCCTGTACTCCCAGTCAACTGAATCACCTCCTGTTGTATGCTGCTAAATATTTGCTACGTCTTTGACAAATAAGTATGCCTTCAATATTGACTGCCCAACAAAAGAGACATATTCTTCAGATTTACATGAGTTTAATACTTAGTAGGCACAGAATATACCATATATATCAAATTATGAATGTCTTCAAAAGCCGTGTATATGTGTGTTTAACCTGTGCAAATATGGTAGTTTGAGTGTAGAACTAAAATTGTATACTAAAGAAAATAATATTTTATTTATTTATGCGTTTTTATTGAGAACCCTTATGAAGATTTAAATGATTTAAAATAAAAATATATTTTAAAATGCTCAATCATGCATTCAACTCAAGTAATTAAATATGATAAAAATGAAAAGTATAGAAAGTGAAGTGAAATAAAAAAAAATAAAAAATTAATTTACCATATGCATTTGGGTAAGATGAGAATTTAGGATTTTTTTTTTTTATTTATAATTATGAAATTGCCGTTAACTTGTTTACTTGAATTACACATTATTTATCAACTTTGACATCTTCATTAAATCATTCATCATACATCGATCGAATATGAAATATTAGAATGATATATAATGAATGAATTAGGCTATTATTATTGATTTACGCTTGTTGAGTCATGTCGGTAAACAAATTGTTGGGCCAATAAGCTAAGTAGTGAGAAATGATATTAGAGCTCTGATTGTTTAGAAAGTGAGATCATAAGTTGGTTTATGGGCAGAATTGGGTCACTAATTTAGAAATTAATTAAAAATATTGAGTTAAATTTAGCACAAGATTTGATTGGATTTTTTTTTTGATAATAAATTTAGCTCCCTGAAAGAGATGAGTATTTGTGAACTCTAAGACCTCATTTGAGAAGATAAGTTTTTGGCCAAAAAATTATTGTAAATTGTCATATTATTTTTTTTAAATATTTTTTTCATGTTTTTTGGTAAAAAATTAGTCATTTTGGTTTAATTTCTGAAATAAATTTTTGAAAAGTAAATCAAAGAAAGTGAAAGATCAATTCCTAAACCTCTAAATCATTTTTTAATTTTGACAAGGGCCTATTTTGGTAACTGAAAAAAAAAAAACTTATTGGTTTATTAGTTTATTTAAATTATATCACTTCTTCACTTTTTTTTAATATATATTTTTTTTTTAAAAAAGTTAATAGGTAAAAAAAAAAAAAAAGCTTTCTAAAATATGCTAAACTCTTTAACTTGATCATTAGAATTGCTTTGCAAACTCTCAAGTATTTCTCAAATATTCAAATGTTTTCTAACTAAATATCTATAATTATCTCGTACATAACACAGCGGTTGTGTTTAACCTGTACCCCATGGGATGCATAACACACTAATCTAAAGACCAATCTTTTATATTAATAATATTTAAAATCTGTGATTTAAATGTATATCATCACAAGTTTTATTAGTTATTAATCACACTTAAAAGATATTATCTAAATGTTATTAATCATACTTAAAAGATGCGATCTAAATATTTATTATCATACTTTGACAAAACTTAAAAAGTGTGATTAAATAACATACATCACATAAAAAAAGTGGTATCTATTTATGATTTTGTAATAATATGTGAAGTTTTCTTTGTCATGCAGACAAGAAATGCAACAGGGTTAGTTGTTCCAGCTATTGCCGTGGGTTTACATGCCTTAACACATACATTGGGCACCCTCGTTCTTGTGATAGGAACAAGTGGATTTGTTACAGGTACAGCTGCAATTGCTATAGGAACTGTTGTCGGTAGTTTTAGATAATCTCTTAATAGTTGTTGATATGTTTAGTAAGTTAGATATGTATAGTTTTTGATAGTTTAAACTTTTTGTACAGTTTAGAACTCAATGATATAATTTTTAAATGTTTGGAATGTATAGACAATTGTTGAATATTTATAATTTATAAATATAGTTTCTTTTTGATGTTTCAAGCAATATTTTGATGGTTGATTAATGTTTTGTGATACTTATTTTTAATATTTGTTAGATTGTACAAAATTGGTTAAATGGAACTTGTTGAATTTTTTATTTTTTTTTTTAAAAAAAAATTGCATGTTCTACGTCAGGCATAATAAGTCGTTGTATTACATATTTTACGGCCTGCAATCAGCGTCTTTATTTGTTTCACCAATTAACGGCGTGTAAAAGTAGGCGTAAAAAAAGTATCAACGACGTATAAAATCTCTCGTTAAATAGTTTTTAACGTACTATAGCATGTCGTAGAAAAAGTAACGACGACGTACAAAATCTGTCGTTAAATAGTTTTTAACGGCGTACAAAACATATCGTTAAAAGTGAATGACTTTCCATGACTGGTCATAATATGACGTGCGCCTGCACGTCGTAGAAGGGTTTTTACGGCGTGTATTGCGTGCCGTAAAAACCTTTTTTTGTTGTAGTGTCAGGCCAAGATTAAAACATTATAATGAGGATAAAGACTAGAAACATATTAATAACAAATGAAATAAGTTATGTACAATTCGAGCGTGTGTTTCAATGTATGTATCCGTCAAGTTAAGTGCATTGCCTACTCTACTCGTCTATTTGAAGCCACTGGTTATCTGTGAGTAATAATTTTGTAAAGTTATGTTCAATTTATAAGTATTTTTTGAATGATATAAGATGATTTGTTTTTTGTTTTTTTTTTTTGAAATATTATTTTCTGTATAAATGAATGGTTGTCCAATGTTGTTGAAATTTATTCGTGGCATCATTAGCTTCAGATGACATTTGTTATCTGTTCTGTTATGTCCCAATTATGGGTCAACTGTACGTCTCATGAGCCAACTGTTATGGATCCTTCTGTATACGTCCCAATTATAGGCCAACTGTATATCTCATGAGTCAATTGTACCGTCTCCATGCACGTGAGTCAACTATATGCCTTTATGGCCGTCCCTTTATGGGTCAACCATTTCTGCTAGTGCTAATGGATGTACTACGTATGATTAACTGCAAATTCTAATTATGAGTATGATTCTAAATCTGTTTCTGTTATGAACTTTGATTTCTGAACATGATCATGAACCTATTTCTGTTTTCTGTAACAGTATGGACAGCATTCATTAAAACCTCTTTACTTTGTTATTATTCATTGGGCGCCCGCTCACTATTTATATTATGTATGTAGGTGATCAAGCGCGTGACCAGCTCAAAGTTGATGGCCTGGAATTCCATTTTGTCAAACATCCTTCGCGCCTCTCGAGGAGGTTCCGGATCATGTCAAGTCCTGTGGCCACATTTTTGTATTTCAGAATTTGGTTCTTTATTTTGACTATGGACAAGTCCTACTTGCATGTATAGTGTATGGAGTGACGTGTAATTATTGTGCCTTTTGACGTCACTCATAAATTTGTAGAAGTTTAAAATTATTTGTCCTATGTATGTCTCCACATCTCAATAGACTATGTATGTTTATATATTTGCTTCTGCAGCCCCTAATTACATGAAATTCTGTTAAGAGGCCTTTTGTAATCCAAGGATTACTGGCTGGTTATGACGTTAAATCTATAGGGACGGGTTTGGGTTGTGACAGGTTGGTTTTTGGCTATTGATGGGAGTGATGACAATATTTACTTCTGAGCATTTCAAAGTTGTGCTACCACTGGTAGTAGTATTGGAACTGCGAAAAACATTCTTCTTCAAAGGCTCATTATCTTCCACAATGATCCCTCGTCTGATGGCATCCTCGATTTGAACCCCCATTTCATGAAGCTCTGTAAAGGTAAATAGAGGTAGAACAATCATCTTTTACAGTAACTTGCCATGTAGATTCCGAACAACCATTCTTATCTGATCTTTCTCGGAAGGTCTTGTGGTCATCATCGAGGCTTTGGCCCTTCATCTTGTCACAAACTCAGAGAAACCCTCATTCAACTCTTGACGAGTTGTCTCGAGATCACGAGTTGTGACCTTAATTTGTGTATTGTAAGAGTACTGAGCAATGAAGGCTTCGGCCATCTCCTACCAATTCTGTTTGACGGATTCTTCCAACTTAGCATACTAAATGGCCGCTATACTTGACATGGTGCGACCAAAGAGAGATAACTTTTGTGGTCTAGTTAAGTCCATTGGTCGCGAGATATCAGAAAACAATTGCAAGTGGACCATCGGATCCTCGGAGCCGTCAAAACGATCAATGTGCAGAATCTTAAACTGATTTGGCAATGTAACTGCAGAATCAGTGTATCCATCCTCTATGTCCGGGATGGAGTTAACCCCTTGTGCTCTTTTGAACAATTTCTCTAATTTGTTGACTTTGAGCACAGTTGGATCGACTTCGAATTCAAATGGTGCCTTAGTCTGATAAACCAGTGCTTTGGAAGCTTGTGCTGGGATTGGCTCTGTTGGATTGCCCTATTTTTCTTTGACATTGGTAGTATTAGTAGTGGCACCGGGAACAGAGATAGCTGCGGTGGGTTTATGTGATGTAGTGGCCGCTATTGGTTGCGGTTATTGTTGCTGTAGCCTGACTATAACCTCGGCCTGAGGGCCGTAACCTCAGCTTGACGAACTGCGTCATCCTACAATATCTTGACTATTTGTTGCAAATGATGTATTAGTTCCTCCATACTGGGCAAGGGATACTGTGCCATTGGAATACGTGACTGGTCTTGTACTAGACTGGAAGTAGATGATTGTTCCTGAATCGGACAAGACACAGGTGAGCCGAGGGGTGACTACTGTAGGAATTGGACTGGTGAATTCTGTCTAATCCTTGTTCGCCTTGTAACCGGCGGCTCTGAAGCAAACACTGGTTGCCCCTGAACTAGGGTCCCCGACCTTACAAAGTCTATCGACACAAGTCCAGAGTACCCAGGGAATATCGGAGCCTTTTGAAGCTATGGTTCTAGGACTACCTAGCAAAAGAGAAAACAAATAGCACCTCAGCCCAATTTCACTAGAACAAATATGATCACAATTGAGTGACTGTACTCCCCGCTTAATTTTGTCCCAAAATAGACACCAACTGTACCACTAATATGAAGCACCCTTGTATAGTTTCACTATAAAGCACATACCAATTAAAGAGAGTCAAAACACTCTTATGAGGGGGTAGGGTTACCCTGTCCTAGTTTTGGCATGAACTAGGATTTCACTATTTCAAGCAAGTAGTTTCACAAAATCCAATATTCGGGTGAGCATCATGTCCTAGTCTGGAACTGTCACTATGGCTTTCTACTAGACCAAATGGTCAAAAAGGGTACCTCGGTAAGACTACCTAATATACCTCTCACACCTAACACCGAGAAGTGAAAGGAGAATCAAACGGTACAACAATAGTCCAGATCCAAGGGTTGTGTTCCCAACATGGCAAAGCCCACGATTGGTTAGCCTTTTGGCAAGCTTTTAGGCAAGCCTTCGGTAAACCATCCAGGAATAGCAGATGGAAAACACAGTGACTTAAGTACACCAATGCAAATGCAATACAAAGAACATTTATGTGTAGATAAAAAACCACATCACGAAGTTCGAGTCAAGTTCCCTAATGTCCCCAGCAGAGTCGCCAGAAACTATAGCTCGGCTTTTCGTGCTCCTTTCGGATATGATAGCCCTACAGTTCGGACTCCCGTGGTTCTGAATTTGATCTCACAAGTGCAATGTGAAATAGATAAACACAAAAGAGTCCAAATTCGGCAAATCTTTTGAAAAATCAATTTTGAATCAAAATGCCAAAAATAGACTGCTTTGCTAGATTAAAGAGTCGCCACCTAAATATTTTTGAAAAATTTAGGAAACCCATGACTCATGCCAAAGGCCACGTGTCCGTCATCACCAAAGTGTCTCGGCTCAAGAACTTAGCTATGAGAGGGGAATGTCATGAATTGAGTACTCTCACTCGCCTGACCAAAGATCGGTCTCTACTAATCATGATGCGATTCTTATTTATATTATATGCTCTTGTTCAAGTTATTAGGCTAATATTACTATGTGTTGCACACAAGTATAGACTAATTTGCAAAAGTTAGAACACTTTGATTCATGCTTGTTTTTTAAAAATTGTTTTGAATATGTACCACTTGAAAAAGCGATCACATATGTAC